GATTCTTGGGTGCCTAAGGTTCTAGGGTTTAGGGTTTAGGGTTTATTATTCTTGCGTACCAGGGGTTCTAGGGCTTAGGGTTTAGGGTTTAGGGTTTAGGGTTTGTGTGTAGGCGTTCTTTTGGGGGTGCAAACCCTTTTATTGAATCCCTAAATAAGAAGCAAATAAAGAAAGCAGCAGCAGCAGCAGCAGCAAAAGAAGAAAGAGATCAGGCTTTGCTGCTGCAGCGCAGCAGAGATGCTAGACAGGTCCCTTATTAGGGTTTAGGGTTTAGGGTTTAGGGTTTAGGTTGGCTTATGCGCCAACCCTCAAACCCTAATATTGAGCTTCTGCTACTCAAGAAGACAAAAGAAAAACTCCGAGGGTTTATCTCCTTTCTTTTAGCTAAAATAATCTTTTTTAGGGTTTAGGGTTTAGGGTTTAGGGTTTAGGGTTTGCGTAAAAAGTTCGCCTCTTTATAGAGCACGTAAAGAAAGAGTCTGTGCAGTTCGCTGTTGCAGCAGCTAGCTAGCTAGCTAGCCAGCAAACAAACAAACAAACAAAATAGTTAGCTAGCTAGCTAGCTGGCTAGTTAGCTAGCTAGCTAGCTAGCTAGCTAGCTAGCTAGCCAATCAGCCGGCCAGGTGGCTAGCTAGCCAAGCAGCTAGCTAGCTAGACAGCCAGTTAGCTATCCAGCAGGCCAGCGAGCTAGCTGGCTAGCCGGCTAGCTAGCTAGCTGAGTAGGGTATAGCCAGCTATAGGGAATTGTTGGCGTATATGTTGATTGGTATGCGGGTGACTGTAGGGTTTAGGGTTTAGGGTTTAGGGTTTAGGGTTTAGGGTTTAGGGTTTAGAGGGCGAGTATATCATCTTGGAAGTGCATAAGTAATGTAGGTGTATATTGATCTTTTTTTTGTTTATTTTCTTCTTTTTTATTATTAATTGAGTAAATATTATTATAATTAATAATAGTAGTAGTACCTTCTTCTCCAGCTGCTGCAGCTGCTGCTGCTGCAGCAGCAGCAGCAGCAGCAGCAGGAGCAGCAGCAGCAAGCTCTAATTCCTCCTCTGGTGTTTTATCTAAATTAATTGCTTTTCCTCTCCATGACCATCGATAGGCATTTGCATGCAAATTAATATTATATTTAACTCCTAATTCTTGCTGCTGCTGCTGCTGCTGCTGCTGCTGCTGCTGTTGCTGCTGCTGCTGCTGCTGCTGCTGCATAAGAGAGTATTTAATTGGCTGGTATAAATGCAACAAAGTTGTCTGCTGCTGCATAGTAAGAGTATTAATGAGGTGTACAGACACCGCAAAAGGAGACAATTTACCAATTATATATCTACTGTCTCTCCACCAAGGAAGGAGACACTTTTTATTTTCTGTATTTATATTTATATTTATATTATTATTAATAGATGTGGGGCCCCCCTGACCCCTTATAGGGGGCCCCCATGTCCCTGGTGCATGCAAGAAGGGTTTATTGGGGTGTATATACACCTCAGTAACATCATTACGTACAGCAGCAACAGCAGCAGGAATTAGATCATCTAAACTGTTGTTGCTGCTGCTGCTGCTGCTGCTGCTGTTGCTGTTGCTGCTGCTGCTGCTGCTGTTACTATTATTATTATTATTATTATTTTTCTTAATAAACCATGAGGATATATCCTTGCCTGCATACTCAATTAAAGGGAGACAATAAATATTATGTTGCTGCTGCTGCAGCAAAGGAGACAAATCATAGACCTGCCCATACACCGCAACCCAGCAATTATTTACTAAACAATGTTGCTGCAGCTCTGCTGCTGTTATTAATAAGTGTCTCCTTTCTATACGTTTTACTACATCACCTGCATATACACCTGAATATATATCTTCTTCTCCTTCTCCTAATGATGATTTTCCTGCTGCTGCTGCTGCTGCTGCTGCAGAAGCAGCAGAGGGAGATGCAGGAGGAGAGGGAGAAGGGATCGATACTGTCTCCATGGTGCAACAACATAAATCTAATCCTTTTGTCTCTAATCCCTCAGGAGCTGTCTCCATCTTTTGCTGCTGCTGCTGCTGCTGCTGCTGCTGCTGTTGCTGCTGCTGCTGCTGTTGCTGCTGTTGCTGCTGTCGATAATGCTCTGCGGAGCAGGATTCACACAAATGCTGATAATGCTGCTGCTGCTGTTCCCGCTGCTGCTGCTGCTGGTGCTTCTGCTGCTGCTGCTGCTGAGAGTAGCAGGGTCAGCCCAAATGCTGCTGCTCCTGCTGCTCCCGCTGCTGCTGCTGCTGCTGCTGCTGCTGCTGCTGCTGGTGCTGCTATCCCTAGCAGGGTCCACTCACAATGCTGCTGCTCCTGCTGCTTCTGCTGCTGCTGCTGCTGCTGCTGCGTCAAGTGCGACAAAGTTAAGAAGAAAAGATGCGATGAATAGAAGGACGAGGGTTTGTAGAGGAAGCGAGTCGTGCTCTAGCTAAATAAGGAAGGCACCCCGAGGGTTTAGGGTTTAGGGTTTAGGGTTTAGGGTTTAGAGGCGAAGAAGGGTTTGCAAAAATATTTATTATTATAAAGAAAAAGAGCTGTTCCCTTTAAGGCTAATCTAAAGGATAACTGTTTTGCTGCAGCAGCAGCAGCATGCAGCCTCAACAGCAGCAGCAGCAGCAGCAGCAGCAGCGAGGTCACCTGGACAGAGTGATTAGGGTTTAGGGTTTAGGGTTTAGGGTTTAGAATTGAAATTTAATTGAATTAGGGTTTATTATTACAATTTAATTTATAATTCAATGTTAGGGTTTTGAGGGTTTAGGGAAAGTTCAAGTTTCAGTCCCAATTTAGGGTTTAGGGTTTAGGGTTTAGGGTTTAGGGTTTAGGGTTTAGGGTTTAGGGTTTAGAACATCTTGAAGCAAGAGATAAAAAAGATAAAGAAGAAAAAAGGAGACAAATAAAAAAAAGATAAAAAAGAAAAAAGAGACAAAAAATAAACAAAAGAATAAAAGAAACAAAAGGAGACAAATAAAGAAGAAAAGGGGACAGAAAGGAGACACCTAAGGAAATAAACTTTTTTGTCCCCTTTTTGTCTCCTTTTTGTCCCTTTTTTGTCTCCTTTTTGTCCCTTTTTTGTCTCCTTTTTGTCTCCTTTTTGTCTCCTTTTTGTCTCCTTTTTGTCTCCTTTTTTTATTATAATAAAAAAGGAGACACATAAAAGGAGACAGATAAAGGAGACAAAAGAAATACGGTGTATCTGCACTCCTGCAGCAATCACCGCTGCTGCTGCTGCTGCTGCTGCTGCTGCTGTTGCTGTTGCTGTTGCTGTTGCTGCTGCAGCACTGGCTGTTGCTGTTGCTGCTGCAGCATTTGCTGCTGCTTCTGCTGCCTCTACAGAGGACGAGCACCCCCTGCTGCGGCTGCTGCAGCTTCAGTTGTTGCTGCTGCTGCAGCTTTTTCTGCTGCAGCTTTTTATGCTGCTGCTGCTGCTGCTGCTGCTGCTGCAGTGTATTTATAATATAAAAGTTAATGAATAAAGTGTCTCCTTTTAGGGAGACAAATAAAAAGGAGACAAAATAAATAAAAAAAGGAGACAATTAACAGCAGCAAACGGAGACAGCAAGAGAGACAGCAGCACAGCAGCAGCACAGCAGCAGCACAGCAGCAGCACAGCAGCAAATAAGAAAGGAGACAACAGCACAGCAGCAAAAAAGACAAGAGAGACAGCAGCAAAGAAGGGACAAGTAAAAGAGACAAAAAAAAAGAGGAAAAAGGAGACAATCAATAAAGAAAAAAGGAGACAAAAGGGAGACACTTTTCTTCTTCTTTTGTCCTTTTTGTCTCCTTGTGTGTTAATTTAGCCAACTATAGTAATGCATAAACCCTAAACCCTAAACCCTAAACCCTAATTAGCAATAACAACATCATATGCCGGTAGATCGGCTCCACGAAACCCTCTAAACCCTAAACCCTAAACCCCAAACCCTAAACCCTAAACCCTTCCTTTGTCATTTGTTGCATCAACTATAAACCCTTAACGAGTTAACAACTCCCCCTTAAATTGCCAATCTGCAAGCAAGGAGGACTCTAAACCCTAAACCCTAAACCCTAAACCCTAGTTTAGGGTTTAGGGTTTAGGGTTTAGGGCGGTAAATATCAGTTCTTGTCTTAACAGCAGGCAGTTAGTTAGTGCTCGCCTCTGATTCCTAAGGCTCAAACCCTAAACCCTAAACCCTAAACCCTAAACCCTGAACTCTTCTAGTTGACTATTATTCCCAAAACAGAGCCCGATGTAAATGAAGTACCAGCAGCAGCAGCTGCTGCTGCCGCTGCTCCCTTTATTGCTGCTGCTGCTGCTGCTGCTCTTGCCAGTGCTGCTACTGCTGCTACTGCTGCTGCTGCTGCTGCTAGTGCTGCTGCTAGTGCTGCTACTGCTGCTACTGATGCTGCTACTGCTGCCCCCCAATAGGATACGGAGATGAAGGGAGGGGTTTACAAGGGTTTAGGGTTTAGGGTTTAGTAACTAGGGTTTAACGGTTAGGGTTTAGGGTTTAGGGTTTAGAAGGGTGTTGTCCTAGGGTTTAGTCCTAATGCACTAATAAGAAATAAACACTATTTATTTATTAATAATTAGGGTTTATATAATTAATAATTTATTGTTTACTAAACCCTAATTATTTTTTTCCTTCAGGGGACAATCGTTTCTTGCTGCTGCTGCCGCTGCTGCTGCTGCTGTTGCTGTTTCGCATGCAGCAGCAGCAGCAGCAGCAACAAGAGTCTGCACTATAGGAAGCTGAAACCTAAACCCTAAACCCTAAACCCTAAACCCCACAAATATTTAATTATATAAAACCCTTGGCAATAAAACTTTTAAGCATAAGGGATGAACCACCGCAGCTCGGAACCTAAACCCTAAACCCTAAACCCTCAACCTAAACCCTAAACCCTAAACCCTAAACCCTAAACCCTAAACCCTAAACCCTAAACCCTAAACCCTAATCGTTCCCCAGCGCCTCCTCTGGTGGATTTCCTCTTTTTTTTAAATATGCTTTTTAGGGTTTCGCCCTTCTTCTGTGCCGCGCCTCTTATCCTAAGGTTTAGGGTTTAGGGTTTAGGGTTTAGGGTTTAGGGTTTTATTAGGATTTGAGGCGAAGTCACAACCTCGCCGGCTCAACGCAGCAGCAGCAGCAGCAAGAACAGCTACATCAGCAGCAGCAACAACAACAGCAACATCAGCAGCAGCAGCAGCAGCAGAAGGTTGAGGAGCAGCAACAACAACATCAGCAGCAGCAGAGCAGAGTACAGCAGCGGCAACAGCCGCAGTAGGAGTATCAGCAGAAGCGTCTGAGAAAGCTGCTGCAACATCAGCAGCAGCAGCAGCAGCAGCAGCAGCAGCAGCAACAGCAGCAGCAGCAGCAGCAGCAGCAGGAAAATGTACGTCCCTCGTGTCCCTGAGATATATAGACATCCTTTATATCCTCCGTTATCTGCTGATGATTTAAATAAGAGGGACTGTCTCCTTTCTCGTTGCCGTGCTGCATGCGAATCCAGCAGCAGCAGCAGCAGCAGCAGCAGCAGCAGCAGCAGCAGCAACAGCAACAGCAGTAACAGCAGTAGTAGTAACAATGGTTCCTCCTCCCCTACCCACAGCAATAGCAACATCAACAGCATCAGCAGCAGCAGCAGCAGCAGCAACAGCAGCAGCAGCAGCAGCAGAGTATATTGGGGTAGCCTAGATGGAGGAAAAGGGAGAAGAAAAGTTCGTCGTTGCTGCTTTGGATTTGCTGCTGATGGCAGCAAACTATTTGCTGCTTATAATGATATTGTTGCTGCTGCTGCTGCAGATACACTGTCTGTACACCTCACCATTGCTGCTGCTGCTGCTGTCTCTCTTGTGCTGCCACACCCAACACATCCTGATCTTGTTGCTGTTGGATCACAGGTAAATATATATATACTCCTGCTGCTGCTGCTGCTGCTGCTGCTGCTGCTGCTGCTGTTTTGCTACTGATGCTTCTGCTGTTTTGCTGCTGATGCTGCTGCTGTTTCGCTGCTGATGCTGCTGCTGCTGTTTCGCTGCTGCTGCTGCTGTTTTGCTGCTGCTGCAGTGGATATGGCTGCTGAGCATGCGGTTGGTGCTGGTGCTCCTACTGCAGTTTTGCTGTTGCTGCTGTTGCTGCTGCTGCTGTTGCTGCTGCTGCTGTTGCTGCTGCTGCTGTTGCTGCTGCTGGTGGTGTTTCTGTGTCTCACACTTCTTCGCTGCTACAACTGCTGCTGCTGCTGCATCTGCTGCTGCTGCTGCATCTGCTGCTGCTGCTGTGTCTGTTTCTCCTTAGGGTCCGAATCGTTCTGGGTCTGTATTAAAGTTATTAGATTTACGTCAGCATCCTCCTCGTCCTTTTTCTTCCTTCAGCAGCAGCAGCAGCAGCAGCAGCAGCAGCAGCGAGATAGGATTAGCGGGGTGTATGTACACCTCACCATTTGCTGAGGAATGGTGGACAGGTGCATGGCATCCATCAGGAGATTATTTAGTTTGTATAGATAAAAGAGATAGATTACATTGTTTATATCCAGGACAGCAGCAGCAGCAACAGCAGCAGATGCAGCAGCAGCAGCAGCAGCAGCAGCAGCAGCCGGTGAAAAGGAATGCTAGTGGTACTCCTACGAGCAGCAACTCAACAGCATCCACCACTACAACGACCTCCACCTCCACGACCAGCAGCAGCAACAGCAGCAGCAGCAATAGCAACAGCAGCAACAGCAGCAACAGCAGCAGCAGCAGCAGCAGCAGCAGCAGCAACATGAGGAGCGAAGTAATAAAACTAGATGCAGTAACATATAGTTGCTGTTTTGTATTAAATGGTGATTTATTTGTTGCTGCACAAGAAGATGGTTGCTGCTGCTGTATACCTAGTAAATGGGGTGTATCTGCAGCTGCTGCTGCTGCTGCGCTGCAGTTACGTGTACTGCAGCAAGGACCTGCTGTTGTTGTTGCAGCAGCAGCAGGACCATCGTATAACCAATCAAATAAATCCTTACAATTAGCAGCAGCAGGATATCCATCAGCAGCAGCAGTAGGAGGAGCAGCAGGAGCAGCAGGAGCAGCAGCAGCAGCAGGAGAAGATATATTTGCTGTAGCAGGAGGAACAGATGGTAGTATACAAATTGTCTCCTCTTCTTATTTGTCTCCTTTTTCTTCTATACCTAAAGGAGACACTTTTATTCATTGTTTATCTATTAATTATAATTCTTCTCTTATTGCTTGGGCAGCAAAAAAACAACCTAATGAACAGTAAGCAGCAGCAGCAGCAGCAGCAGCAGCAGCAGCAGCAGGAGTAGTAGTAGTGGTAGTAGTAGTGTGATAGTAATAGGGATAGTTGCAGCAGCAGCAGCAGCAGCAGCAGAAGCAGCAGAGACAGAAAAAGAGATACAAAAGGAGACACATAAGAAGGAGACACTATTTATATGTTTGCTGTTGCTGCTGTTGCTGCTGTTGCTGCTGCAGGGAGGAGCCATTGCTGCGTCGTCAAGAAGAAAGGAGACAAGGGAGACACAAAGT